TGACCCCGTGACCCCTCGCTGACCCCTGGGTGACCCCTGGGTGACCCCTTGACCCCTCGCTGACCCCCGTGACCCCTCTGTCCGCAGCGCTGAAGGACGAGCGCTTTGAGCTGGGGGTGACCCTGTGACCCTGTGGGTGACCCCATGACCCCCTGCTGACCCCGTGACCCCTGGGTGACCCCTCGCTGACCCCTGTGTGACCCCGTGACCCCGTGTCCGCAGCGCTGAAGGACGAGCGCTTCGAGCTGGGGGTGATCCTGTGACCCTGTGGGTGACCCTGTGACCCCTGGGTGACCCTGTGACCCCTGAGTGACCCCATGACCCCTGGGTGACCCCGCTGACCCCTGTGTGACCCCCGTGACCCCGTGTCCGCAGCGCTGAAGGACGAGCGCTTCGAGCTGGGGGTGACCGTGGGTGGCACTGGGTGACCCTGTGACCCCGTGGGTGACCCCGTGACCCCTGGGTGACCCCATGACCCCTGGGTGACCCCGTGACCCCTGGGTGACCCCTGGGTGACCCCGTGACCCCTGTGTGACCCCCGTGACCCCTGAGTGACCCCTCTGTCCGCAGCGCTGAAGGACGAGCGCTTCGAGCTGGGGGTGACCATGGCATGGGTGACCCTGTGGGTGACCCCATGACCCCCTGCTGACCCCATGACCCCTGGGTGACCCCTGGGTGACCCCTTGACCCCTGTGTGACCCCTGTGTGACCCCGTGTGCGCAGCGCTGAAGGACGAGCGCTTCGAGCTGGGGGTGACCGTGGGTGGCACTGGGTGACCCTGTGACCCCGTGGGTGACCCTGTGACCCCTGGGTGACCCCGTGACCCCTCGCTGACCCCTGGGTGACCCCTCTGTCCGCAGCGCTGAAGGACGAGCGCTTCGAGCTGGGGGTGACCATGGGTGGCACTGGGTGACCCTATGGGTGACCCTGTGACCCTGTGGGTGACCCCATGACCCCCTGCTGACCCCATGACCCCTGGGTGACCCCTGGCTGACCCCGTGACCCCTGTGTGACCCCCGTGACCCCTGAGTGACCCCTCTGTCCGCAGCGCTGAAGGACGAGCGCTTCGAGCTGGGGGTGACAATGGGTGGCACTGGGTGACCCTGTGACCCCTGAGTGACCCCATGACCCCTGTGTGACCCCTGGGTGACCCCCGGGTGACCCCGCTGACCCCGTGTCCGCAGCGCTGAAGGACGAGCGCTTCGAGCTGGCCGAGTTCAGCCGGCGGCGGCTGCGGCTGCGCCTGGCGCGGGCCCGGCTGGACGACGAGGGCGGCTACTTGTGCCAAGTGTACGCCGACGACGCGCACCACCAGATCGCCACGCTCACCGTGCTGGGTACGGGGAATGGGGGAAAATTGAAAAGAAACAGGGAAAAATGGGGGGAAATGGGGGAAAATGGGGGAAA